TTTCTCAATGATTTCCCAGTGATTTCCCAGCAATTTCCCAGTGATTTCCCAGTGATTTCTCAGTAATTTCTCAATGATTTCCCAGTGATTTCTCAATGTTTCCTCAGTGATTTCCCAGCGATTTCCCAGTGATTTCCCAGCAGTTTCTCAATGATTTCTCAGTGATTTTTCAATGTTTCCTCAGTGATTTCCCAGTGATTTCTCAATGAATTCGCAGTGATTTCGCAGTGATTTCTCATTGACTTCCCAGTGATTTCCCAGTGATTTCCCAGTGATTTCTCATTGACTTCCCAGTGATTTCCCAGTGATTTCTCAGTGATTTCTCAAACTGAGCGACAGCACTGAGAGCTTTTCCCAGAGAGCCTTCTCCAAAGAGTGGGACATCCGTGTCACCTCTGCCGGGTGCAGTGACTCCCTCTTGTCTTTGTTCTCTCCCCCAGATGGTTTTTGTCTCCCTGAGTGGGATGGCATCGTCTGCTGGCCCGAAGGTGTCCCGGGCAAGGTGGTGGCCATGCCGTGCCCCGAGTACATCTACGACTTCAACCACAAAGGTGGGTGTTGCCCTCAGGAAGGAGATTCCTGGCAGTCACAACATTCCAAACCACCTTTAACATCCCTTTTTCCTCGCACAGCGACTCCCTTCTGAGCAGGAGCAAACCCAGGGGAAAGGAAGGAAGGAAAGGAACAGTTTGTTATTTGTTTCTGCCGAAAAAAAGCTCAGTTTTAACTGAAACAGAGACAGATTTCCCACGTGTCCCACACAGCCTGTAACCCTCCAAACACTAATGATTAATGTTTAGATATTAATATTAGTTTTAGATATTAATATTAGTTTTAGACATTAATATTAGTGTTTAGATATTAATATTAGTTTTAGAGATTAATATTAGTTTTAAATATTGATATTCATTTTAGATACTAATATTAGTTTTAGATACTAATATTTGGTTTATATGTTAATATTTGTTTTATATATTAATATCTGTTTTATATATTAATATTAGTTCTATATTAATCTAGTGGTTTAGGTATTAATAATTAATAACAACACAATAAACACAGCCTTCAGATTAAGTCCCAGAATCTCAGAATATGCTGAGTTGGGAGGGACCCACAAGGACCATCGAGTCCAACTCTTATCTTGGGTTTTCTCTTGCTACGCAGAGTTTGTGGCATCAAACAAATCCAGCCCTGTAAATCCACAAAACTTGAACTCTGTGGCCACTTTGAGCCTGACAGAGCTCAAGTCTTTGATTTTTTTTTAATTTTTTTTTTTTACATGATTGATTTTGATTTTTTGGTTTGATTGATTCTGATTTTTTCATTTGATTGATTCTGATTTTTTATTTGATTGCCCAACCTGGATTTGTTTGACACCACGACCTCTGGGTAACAAGAGAACCCCCAAAATATTCTTCCCATTTATATTCCTTGTTAATCCCAGTCCCTGCTCCCTGCCCAGAGCCCTCTCTGGGTGTCTGAGAGCACCAGGAGCAAGCAGAAGGTGGGAATTCTTCCCTATCTCCCTTCCCCTCAGGCAGCTCATTTCTGGGCTCTCTGGTGGTGCCCCGGAGTCTGGGAATGTTTGGAGAAGGGCAGGAACACATCTGTGTTCCCTCAGGGAATTTTCAGAGCTAGAGGACTCTCTATTCTCCCCAAGGAGGCAAAAATTAGGGAGTTAAGCCTGTCTGTTCAGAGCAGAGCACTGGTGCTGCTTTCAGAAAACAAGGAATGATAGTCCCAGGAATCCTGGTTGCACATCCTGGCTTTTCTGTGAGGGACTGGGAGCTCACCCAGGTCACCCCTGACCTCTCACAGACCCTGCCCGTGCTCTTCACCTGAGAGACCAGGAGGAACAAGCTGCCATGGAATCATTGGATAGTTTAGCTTGGAAAAGCCACCTAAGATCAGAGTCCAACTGTACCCCCAGCACTGCCAAGGCCACACTGCCCATGTCCCCAAGTGCCACATCCACAGGGCTTGGAAATCCCTCCAGGGGTGGGGACTCCACCCCTGTCCTGGGCAGCTGTGCCAGGGCTGGGCAGCCCTTTCCAAGAGGGAATTTTTCCCAATATTCCATCCAATCCTTCCCTGGTGCAATCCATCCCTTTTCCCCTCGATATTCCCGCATGGCATGGATTCCTCACCTTGCTGAGGTCCATGGCCAAGTCAGGTGGTGTGGGAGTCAGATGAAGGGCCTCAGATGACAGAAACAAAGAACCCCAGACTGGTTTGGGCTGGAAGGGACCTTAAGGATCATCCAGTCCACCCCAGTGGACACCTTCCACTATCCCAGGTTGCTCCAACCTGGCCTTGGACACTTCCAGGGATCCAGGGGCAACCCCAGCTTCTCTGAGCACCCTGTGCCAGGGCCTCCCCACCCTCCCAGCCAGGAATTCCTTCCTGATATCCAACCTAAACCTACTGCCTGTCAGTTTGAAGCCATTCCCAGTTTTGTTGTCATTCCAGACCCTTGTAAAAGTCTCTCCATCTTCCTGGAGGGCTCCTAACAGCTCTCCCTCCGGAGTCCCGGGACAGACGGGTCTGTTGAGTGGTTTCATCCCTATTTTTTGTGAAGGAATTTTAACATACAGCTGATGCCCTGGTACCCACACAGACCTCTGAACGTGGATATTCCCATGTGCCAGCTGTATCCCAGGAGGAAACTTTGCTTCCTCTTCTTCCTCCTTCACCACGAGGAGAGCAACCAGAGAAAAACCTCCCTTGAGATGACCCGAGCCTGTAAAGGAAGAGCAGCATCAATAAATCCCCCTTTATTTCCCAGGGAGAACTGCAATTAATTCTGAGGATGATTCCACACTTTGGGGCTTTTCAAAGCTTCTCTCCTCAATTTTTAGACCCACTGTCTGACCCTAATTAAAATGCTCTGTGGGGTTTCTCAGCTGGAAGGTCGATAAGGTTTCTGTGGAGATGGGAATCGGTTCTTGCAGCTGAGCTTGGAAGCGGGCAGGACACACCAGGACCGGTGGGATCCACCCCTGGAGTGGTTTTCTCCCGTTTTCCCAGGTCTGGGCCCTGACTCTGTGTGTCCCCTCTCTCCACAGGCCACGCTTACCGTCGGTGTGACCTGAACGGGAGCTGGGAGCTGGTGCCAGGCAACAACAGGACCTGGGCAAACTACAGCGAGTGTGCCAAGTTCCTCACCAACGAGACGAGGGAGAGGGTAGGCCATTCCCTTCGGGCACGGAGCGGGAATTCTGCCCTCACCCAGAATTCCTCACTTGTCTCACTTCAAACCCTCGATGAGCTCCAGCTCATCGGCCTCCTCTGGGAAACTAAGCCCGAGCTTGCCAAAGCCACGGCGGGTTTTGGTGGGGAATTACTTGAACTTGGAATTGTCCTCAAAGGCAGAAAGGCTCCAGCAGCCACCCTCCCACACAC